GGTAGTGCAGTGTCGTTTCTCTCTTGGGAGCATCGTTTGCGGAGCAGCGCTGGAGGTCAGAGGCAGGAGGTGGAGCGGCTTCGTCTTGCACGGAGCTTCGGGGGTGATGTCAAGTCATGCCTGACCGACAGGTGCTACGCTTTGTCATGCCTGGTCGGCAGGTGCTACGCACGACAGATCTTCCAAGGACTTCAAGCTGTGTCGGCTGGTGATACCTGGCAGCATGGCGCTGAGGTGTATCAGTGGCGACCGCGACGTGCTCAGCTGTTTGCGCGCAGGGAGGAGGTGACGTTTGGCGCCGTGGTGGCGTCGACGATTGCTGGACCGAGCAAGGTTGATGCATCAGTATAGTTCTGAAGATGGAGCGGTGGTAGTTGGCGGCGGCGGCATCTGAGTGCACGCCGGACCGGTGAGACCCATGCCCGGCAGGAGTCCTGGATGGGTTCTCAGGTCTTTAGATGTTAGGTTTGGCTGCGATGTCTGTTTGGTTTTAGGTCCAGGCTATCTGCGCCCCTTCATCAACTGGATAGAGGTGCTTAGACGGCGGCTTTAGTCTTACTGTTGCATTACTTTGTAAGGTCTTGTGAGAATTATTAATAAAGTGGCCGTATGCATCGCCCAGATGCAGAGGCCGAGGGTCATCCTCCTTTTCTAAAAAAAAAAGAAGCTCAATGATGTAGCCCCTCTGCGAACCAAGCGGCAGGAGGCATCTCAGATGCAGAAGTACCAGAAGCTCGACGCACTGCTTTAGCTAGGCTTGTCTATCTTTTTTTATTATGTGTGCTTCAATATGCAATTATTTTAATTTTGTAGATCACTCCCTACAACTTTTGATGCGGATAAAGGGCTGAGCTTATAACTTACCTCTTCGGGTAAAAGGGTAATAAGGTCTTTTTATGTGGTAGAGGTTTTTCTAGGAAGTAAATTAGCACAAAAAAGTTGAAACCCAATATCCATCTGCTTGTTCCAATCCTATCCCGTCCGTGTATCTTCCCAAATCAAGCGGTACCACCGAATAAAAAAAAAGGCTTACTGCTAGCTGTTGCCTTCACAAATATATTTTTTATCGCTTGTGTTAATCCGAAGAATCATATGCGTGTACTTTGATGAAGTTGTGTCCATATACATGCCCGTCTAATCTTAAATCAGAGTGCTCGTCTCTCCGGTGGCGGCAATCTACGAGGAGTGTTCTTCCTTATGTCATAATCTTGATAATATTAGCTTAAAACATAGTCTTAAGGAAGCCAATAGGACAGCTCGTCTTTTAGCGACTTAGCTGGTAGATGCACAGAACATTGTCCAGAATGGGGATCCACCTGGTTTTTTCCTAGTTGTACTTGTGGATCATTTATCTATTATTCCAAATGTAATATAATCTTCCATGAAGGTTTTTCATTAAAAAAATAAGAGCGCTCGTCTAATAATAAATGAGAGAGAGAGAGAGAGAACCACTGGAGTAGTGGAGAAGCCAGTGGCCAGTGGTAGAGAACATTGTCCAGAATGGGGATCCACCTGGTTTTTTCCTAGTTGTACTTGTGGATCATTTATCTATTATTCCAAATGTAATATAATCTTCCATGAAGGTTTTTCATTAAAAAAATAAGAGCGCTCGTCTAATAATAAATGAGAGAGAGAGAGAACCACTGAAGTAGTGGAGAAGCCAGTGGCCAGTGGTAGAGAACAACACACAAACACACACACACACAGCAGACTCAAATTATTTGATCATAGCCAATTAACCGGATATTATTGTCAGACATCCATGTATGCAGCGCTTGAAGACTACTGCCCGTTTGCAGGTGGCCCTTAATTATTATTCTGAATATTAATTAATTGTAGCTAATTCAGGATGTACAAAATTACACTTTTAGGCAAGGTTGTCAGAATCGTGATTCTGTTATACGATTCTACGACTTTACGATCCAAAGTAAACCCTCGGATTCTACGATTCTAGCTCATAGGATCTGCGTTTCTGCGATCCTGATAGTTAAGATTCTACAATTTGCGATCCTACCATCGCCCTCCAATCCGATTCAAAATCGCGATTCTGACAACCTTGCTTTTAGGTTAACTAGCACATATGTCCGTGCGTTGCAACGGGAGAGACATTTCTTTGCGAGAAGCAATGGGAGAGATAATTCATGTGCCCAGCAAAAACGATCTCCGCAGCGGTGCGATAGAGCGACGAGTTGTGGTCTTCTCGCGGGTCATGTTTGTCCCGCGAGATATTGATAGTCGGTGTGGCGGCAACCATCCTACTCATGCATTTTTTTTTCTTCAGGTCCGCCTCTGTCATGTGGTTCTGTCTGCCACCTCATTTGGTAGCTATGCGGCGGTTGTGTCTGCCTCCTTATTTGATAGCTATGCGGCGACTTTCAGGGCACGGTTGCTTCGATCACTCTCACGATGGCATAACCAAATGGATTACTAATTGTAGCGCATAAATCCCGTTTCATCGGCATAATTAGCGCATAACGAGATATCAATTACCCTTCTTTATTAGGGTTCATTCTCTTTGTTTTAGAGCTCATGTGCCCATAATTTTTTCATTCGAGCCAAACCAACATATTCTCCTTTATTGGCACTTGCAAGCTAGCACTGACAATAATTTGTGGAGTCCCTCCTTCTCATGATTCTCGAGATAACTTCCTTATTTTGATATAAACTTCTTATTACCAGACAACCTATGGACATATACAAACTGGTGGGAATTTACTATAAAGTTTCAAGGCAATACTATTCTCATCATAATTGAAAGATAGATGAGCTAGTTTTGTCCATCGACATAATACAGAAGGTCCATAGTTCAATTCCACCGGGGCTTAAATTTTTGTTGCTCATTCGTCTCACAGAAAAAGAAATGTGTGGGTAGGCCCAGTTCATCCCACCTGGGGTACTAACAACAAAAAATCAGGAACTATGAGCGGGAGGAACAAAATCTATATGTATATTTAATAGGAGGACCAACAATTTTTATGTAACAAAGCCGCTCTAGCTTAGTTGGTATTCGCCTGAGGATGTGAATGCAATGTCGCAAATTCTATTCCTTGCAACAAACAAATATTTTTGGCTCCCTTGACGAGGATTCATGGGCCGGAGGCGGACGACCCAGTAGGGGAGTGCAGTTGAGGCCCAATACTGCCTGTGCGACGCAATTTTTTTCTTGTACCAACTGTGTGGGGCTACTATATGCCGCTAGTTGCGTAAAATAGCACGTGGGACTCACATCAGTTCGTGTATGGCCCAACACACTGGCAGGCTCCAAGACGACCAATGTTTGTAAGGCGCGCAAAAAATCCAAAAAACGATGTGTTGAAGGATCGAAACCATATCCTCAAAGAACGACTAAGTGCTGCTAGCCACTCCAAGAAACGAGTCCTATCAACCAATGGCCAGCTCGAACCGTTAAGAACATACTCCAATGTCAGATTCGAAACAATTTTTGTTTTTTTGAACTTTTTAAAAAATATAAATTTCTGAATATTCTTGGAAACATGAATAATTTTGAAAATTCCAATTTTTTAAAATTATTTACATTTTAAGAAATACACAACAAAATTTGACATGTTCGAAATTCACAATTTTATTTGAAAAAAAGAACCTTTTATAAAAACATGACATTTTTTGAATTTGTGTTTCTGAAATGAAACATATTTTAAACATTCAGAATAATTTTAGGAAATGACTTTTCTTTAAACTCGTAAATTATTTTGAATTTGCGAATATTTCACTAAAAAATAATATTTTTCGTATTTGCAACATTTTTTAATGCATTTTTTGGAAAATCGTGTCCAATTTTGGAAAATGCAAATAAAAAAATGGATTTAAAAAAAAATGAACCAGTTTTGGAATGAGAACAAAGATATAAAGTTCTACAAAACATGATAGTTTTTGGTATTCTGAACATTTCTAAAAATATCATTTTTTCTGAAATTATTTTTCTTTGAAAATTATGAATTTTTGAAGAAAAGGGTGAAATAAAAAAAGGCAAAATAAGCAGGAAAGAAAAATAGAAACATAATACAGTAAAAAAAGGTTCAGCCCAGCGCAGGCTCACTGTGCGAAGGTCCGACTATTTGACGCCGCATGCGATTAATAGGGTTTTCCAGGTGGGCACAAAAATAAAATAGCTGGCTTTGCTGGGCCACATTGCAGGCGGCCCAGGTACGAAATTCTGCCGTTTTTCTTTTCTAATACACGAACGGACATAAATTTAGTACCACCTCGAATAGAAAAAAAATATTTTCAATGGTGAACGGATGAAAAAATCGGAGAAACACACCTTTCTTTATTAGTAGGGGTATAGATATAGATATAGATATAGATTTTAAATTGGGGCTCTGAAGCACAACCCATTTTTAATTTATGGATATTTGGCCAAAGAATTGTGTGGCCTGTCTACCTTAGACCTCTCATAGTGAAAGTATCACATATAGCAATCTAGGCAAAAAAGATAATGTGGCAGTGCAATTAAGGATGTGAAAGAAGGTTCTACTCCCTCTCTCCCAGTTTACAGGGCGTGCGCCTACCCCTAGGTCGTTAATTTGACCAACCTAATACAAGTCATATATTATAAAAAAATATACCAATATAAACTTCAAATGTTTTATTTTCGAACGATATAATTTTTGTGTTATATAGTTTATATTAGGGTGATCAAATTGGCAACCTAGGTATACGCGTAGTAGTTGTAAACTGAAACGGAGGGCGTAGTATCATAGCATGTCAAATTAAATAGGTAATAAGAAATAAATCATAGCCACATCTTTGCATTGAGATTCTAAAAATAAATAAATGAATTGGCAACATAATACTAGGTATGATACTATGCATTAGGATGTAGTATCATAGACTAATATCATGTTCCACTAGGAAAGGTCTTATGTATATGAACTCTGCTAGCTGACGGCTTTCATCAATGCCTACGTTCTAGAAAAAAAGAAATAATCTAAAATTGCTGGAAATAGAGCAGGGCAATGTTTCACTGCAATTAAACGGACCTTTTTGAAGATAGCGTAGGCCTCATCATCTTCTAGACATTTGACATTGATCATTTGATCTGCCTGCTGCTTGACAATATGTTTGGCGATGCTTTCTTCAGTTGTGATGACAACTATTGTGGCTTCTACAGTAGACTGGGATACAAAGACAGTTTCAATCAAGTCCCAGTCATATGTGGACCGCATACCATCAATAATGACGACATACTGGCCTTGCCGCAGAATTTCACGGCACCTTTGAATTGGGTCCTGTCCCTGCATAATACCAATTGCTGCAGCTTCCATGGCTTTAAGATCACATCGATTGAAATTCAGAAGTAAGAGCCGAGAAAATTTCACCAAATCAAACGGACCATCTGGCAGATCGACCCATGCAAACCTCCTTTCAGAGAGAGGAGAGGTTAGATAGTTGTATTTTTTTCTCACGAGATATGATTTCCCAACACCGGCAATGCCCCATACTGAGGTGACCCCAGTACGATCAATGTTTCTGAAGATCTTTGTAGACACCTCTTCTTGAGACCTAGGGAACAGTGTTATTTGTGTTCTGTCGGGTAGAAAGATACTCCGAGAAGCCTTCTTGTTATCTCCACATCCATAGTAGTCAGAGGCCTGCATAGAGAGAGAGAGAGAGAGAGAGAGAGAGAGAGAGAGAGAGCTGTTAAATTTCATGTCCCCAGCTTCAGAATCTGTTTAACTAATTACGAGGACTACGAAGATCAGATGGCCAAACAACTCTAGTACAACATCGAAGTACTTTTTTTTATTAATAACATTGGCTATCAGCACTGATATATAGTGAAGCTTATCCCCGCAAAAAAAAATTATAGTGAAGCTTATAATACCTTTGTCCAGGGACGAATGGTGGTGTTGGCTTCCAGACGTTCCACAAAATGTTTGGCCACACTTTCTTCATTTGCAATAAGGATGACACGACCTCTACTCCTCAAGCAGAGGCATGGTTTTATCAACTCCCACTCTTCCATGGATTGCAGACCATTTATAAAGAAAATGCAATTGTTTAAAAAAGTACAGCGAAGTCTTCTAGCGAGCTCCTCGATCTCATGTACATCCGGAAACAATCCCGTGGAAAGGCGCAGACGGAATTCATCCTCATTGAATGGATCGGGTACGTCCACCCATACGTAATACTTAAAATGTTCTACCTCGTTGAATCCCACATGCTGATGCTTTATGCCGTCGTACACTTGTTTTAAGATTGTTGTTGTGTCACCGCTAGCCCCAAAAACGGAGATCACTTGACGATGTCGTAGTCGCCAAAAGAGTTCGTCCAAATAGTCATGGATCTGCGGGTAATTAATTGAGACACATTAAACAGTTAATTTTTTTTTGCGGGGTAAACAGTTAATTATTATTATAGAGTCTAAGGGGCTCGGTTAATTAAGGCAAAATAAACAGTTTATTGGCGTACACATTAAGACCGTTGAGTGCTAATTAAATCTAAGGTACGGTTTATACAATCCTAATCCAAGAAAAGAACGAACGTTGTGGATACATGCACGGCGTGCATGCTGGCGAAAATATGAAAGCAAACAAGAAGTTTGGCATGCATGAGGTGAATTTGCATGTGCAGTTCTGTGCCAAGAAAGGAATTAAGAAAGGATTTGAACATCTAATTTTGTTGTGTTGGAAATAAAAGAAGGAATGTCGACACATTGGATTAATCCTTTTGAATTAAAAGAATTGTTTCTCCATTACAATATTTTTTTTTGAACAATTCATTGCAATAATTTTGGTGATAAGCGCAGGCTGAGTCTCATAAAGAGTAGATTGGTTTGGCGATTTCCTTGATGAACAGCATCCCCGCCGCGCTTCACAGTGGATTGGTCAGGCCGACGCTCTCTCATGCGCGAGTTCCTTACTACGTCGTCCTTGTTTCTCCATTACAATATTTTTTTTGAACAATTCATTGCAATAATTTTGGTGATAAGCGCAGGCTGGGTCTCATAAACAGTAGATTGGTTTGGTGATTTCCTTGATGAACAGCATCCCTGCCGCCCTTCACAGTGGATTGGTCAGGCCGACGCTCTCTCATACGCGAGTTCCTTACTACGTTCTCTCATATGAACAGAATTAGAAAGAAGGTCACTGGAGGTAGGAGAAGATAAGCACGCACAGGCTGCATACCAACTCGTATCCCTCCCATCTCCCCTCGTGCAAGTGGCCCACCTTGTGCGCTCGCCTCAGCCTGGCTAGAAACTGCCGATTCCTGGGTTCCCAGCGACCCAGGCCCAGAGGTACTTTAAGTTCCGTGCTATGCAGGCCCAATAGTAAAATCATGCAACCAAACAACCCATTCGCTTCCCGTGCGGACCTGGTTGGGCCTCACGCAGGCAACCAAACACGCCCATTCTGTTCCTTGTGTTGGCTGCATACAAAGACCGTTCCGGGGTGGCCACACGGGTGGCTCCCTTGGATGCTCGGTTTGAGCAGCTGAATGGTCCAGATGCTTGCACATCCGTTGGGGTTACTTACTTTTTGAGCATTTCTAGTCATTTAGCTGTACTGGAGAAAGTAATCCTACATACCTAAGAGAGTGCTTCTCACTACTTCTGTTTGTGTCAAGATATCGTAGCTATGCCACCTCAACAGGCAACATGCATCGGAAAATGGCAACCTCAACATGCTACTCCTTCCGTGTCTGAAAAGAGAGTGTATTTTGATTGTCTAAATTCATGTTTTGACCTTAAATTAGTCAAATGATATATTGTTTATATTACATTGACACCACTGAATTCGTAATCAAAAGCACTTTCACATGATTATGATTTGATAAGTATTGACTAAATATTATATGAAGGATTTATAGTACCATGCATGGAAAAAAAGATCCACCACAACATGCAACCATGCATGTGAAGCTATTACACTTCTTATATATATATAGGGTAACGCTATTCTAAGCGTGAGTGTAGAATAGCGTATTCTACACCCCCTAGTAACGCTAAGTATAAAATCTAGTAAAACGGTGTATAAAATGTAGTAGTTCGGAAAATATATTTCTTATCATTTAAGTTGACGAAAAAGGGTTTCCCCTCGCTTTAGATTATAAAGCAACGTAGTTTGTAATTTACTACATTTTTACGAAAACTACTATATTTTACATAATGTGTTACTGTATTTTGTATGTACCGTTACTGCGGTGTAGAATAAGCTATTGTACACTCACGCTTAGTTTAGCGTTACTGCGGGGTAACTACCACCGGGTGGTAGGATGGATTTTCCCTATATATATATATATATATATATATATATATATATATATATATATTCATTAAAATATATATTTTAGCATATACCTAGGGAACTTCTCTTCTATTGTCTAGAATTAAGAGTTTGTCATCCATGTTCCGTATTATGGCTCATATTTTGGCATATAATAGTATTGATTATTTATACTAGTGTGTCCAATTGACACGACTAATGTGAAATATAGCATTCAAGAATAGGCGACGCTACGAACTTCTCGGATGGTACACCAAAGCTGTTTAGATGAGATAAGGCCACGGAGACGTGAGAATAACAACATCAAACATTGGTTGAGATGCTATTTAATATTTTTATCTATAATAAAAAATAGGTACGAAAGTTAAACTGGTTGGCAGACTACACGACCAAAGTAGATGACAATTTAGCTTATTGGATGGACTAATCATACCTGCATGGAAGGATGAAGGGCCACGTCGTTGACGTTGAACACACGATTTTCATCACCTACACAACTTGTGGCCACACTTTCATCATTCGTTACAATGATAATATAACCTTTAACACCTATCTCTTGGAAACCACTTTTTATCAACTGCCAATCTTTGGTGGACTGTAGACCGTTAATAACTACCAGGCACTGGCGGATGTTGTTTTGATAAAGAAACCGACGAATCAATCGATCCGGCCTATCCTGGTCGGATTCAGTATCATCCTCAAGGAACGGCTGCAACAAGCTCAGGTAGAAGTCTTCCAAACTGAATGGATGGGCCACATCAGCCCATAGGCAGAATATACCTTCTGCTTCTTGAGGGTTTAATATTTCTTCATTCCCGTTAGGTATGAGGTCGAGCAGTTCTTTGACGAGAGTTGATTTGTCATCACCAGTCCCCCAAACAGAGATCACACCAGGATAACTTAGTAGCCGAATAAGGTCGCCCATGACATTTCGACGACCTGAACGCTGCAGGTAATAATGGGAATTATTAATTTAGGTACTTCTGGAGGAAGATTAATTGGGGTGATTGTTGTGATTGGTGTTGCAATATTAGAAACACCCAAAGCATCTAGTTGCATGAATTAGCAAACCACTGTCCTATTTCTCTCTTCTGTAATAACACTATGCTTTTTTCTGGTTCGTCCGTTCACCCCTCTCCTCCCCTATACGTCTAGTTTCCCTTTGTCTAGGGGTCCACACGTCTATTTTACATAGCCACCAGGACGCTCTGAACCCGATCCGCTCGGCCGTTCGTGTTTGTCCTGGCGACGGCTTCACCTAATAATCTCTTCTCTATCTCTACTATACTTATTACTCATATATACTTAAAAAGAAGATAACGTTTCCATCACACTTTTCTTCCCACCACCTCTTTGTCCAACCTTTTTTGTATGATAAACAATAAACTTAATTTACTTAGCTTCTAAACGATCTTTCAAAAAAACTTAGCTTCTAAACCAATTTCATTTTAATTTACTTATCAAACTTCTGATGAAAATATAAAGTAATTCACGGGCAAAATTTGATGAACCTTTATTTACACAATTACATTATTATTGACAGTTAAATCAAAAGCTAATGTTGACGTATAATGTGTTGTCTAATCTTTTTCATCAGATCGGTCTTTTGGTTACATTGGCTAGAGCATGCACTTCTACAGCTAATGTGTTAAAGTATTTACTTATACCCCATTGCAACGCACGGGCACATTGTTATAGTATATATAATAATGATAAGTTAAAAAAAAAAGGGTCCGTATCGCTTCGTCGCTTGGTTTTGGGCCGTCCCTCTTCCCAGCTCATCCCTCTCCACTCACGTGAACGAAAATCGTATTCCTATAGGATTCGGGAACAAATACCTGCTACAAAGAGGACGACCGAGACGCTATAAAACTAAGCTAATCCTCTTGATTTTCTCCTCACGCTGCACCACGACAGCGTAATCGAATTGAATTGAATCGAATCGAGTAGAGGAACTTTGATATCCGCCGAGTGCGGCGAACGGCGTTGGTCCTCTGCGCTCAGACCTTGATGGACTACGGGTCATGTCCGAAGAGATCGAATATGAGAAGCCGTCATGGCCCCCAGCATCGCCGGTGCAGACCGCTAGCTTCTCAAGCCAGTGCCGGACATATTGCTGCCGGGCGGTCCAGCCGACCCCTGTGTCGTGCCCTTTGCCGGCGCGCTGGGTCACCGTTCCTATGTTTCCCCGGCCCTAGGCGGCCTTTCCCCTGCAGCGCATCCCAGCGAGTGAATTGCAGGAAAACGCCACATTGACACCTAGGTTTGCAGGAAACACCGGTATACAAATTTGAGACAAAAACCACTGATTCTCAACCTAATCTTTTGCAAAAAAAACACTGATTGGTCGCTTAGACCATTTTAACCACGATAATGACATGTGGGTCCCGCATTTGATGACCTGGCATACCATTTCGTGATAGAAAACGTTAGATTGTTATTTTTCCAAAAAACACTTTCTCCCAATCCCTACCCTATCGATCCAGATCAGGATCCCGGTCCAAATCGCCACCCCGCTTCCTTCTTCACGCTAGCTGATGTCGTGCAGAGACATGGCGAAGTGCGCCAGAGAGCGACGCCAGGGACGTGGAGTAGCTGTTCCAGCTGGGCCACCCTCACCATGCACTACTCCGCTGTGAGCAGGTCCTCTGGGAGCTGCCGGAGGTGGCGGCGAGGCTCGTCTAGGCGGACGCCCCGTGCGGCGACCTGTCAGAGCTGCAGGACGCGTGCGCCCTCCTCACCGCCAATTTCGGCATGGGTTTTGCGTCCATCGTCGCTGAGCTGCAGCGCCGAGGTTGGGTTGCGCGGCGCGCCTTGGGACCAGCCTCTGGCGCCCTTGCTCGGGGTACGCGGCAGCATGCTCGCCTGCGCCTTGAGTATGCCCTTGCGCTGTGGTCGTGCCCTCTGCTCACGTTCCCGGCGAGGAGACCAATCACCCATGGTCGACGTCCTGTTGTGCTACTGCTTTGCCCGGCTGCTTGGGCAGCCCTCAAATCCATGGAGGAAATTGATTGCTTTTTGTTTTTTGATTGAAGGGTGTCCCTATGAAATTACAGGGACTGTTTTATAAATCTAAAAACTCCCTCATCTAACGTCGTCTATCATGAAACGTTATGCCACGTCATCAAATGCGGGACCCATGTCATAATTGCGGTTAAAATGGTCTAAGCATTCCACTGGTAGAATAAGGGCCTATTGTCTCGGCCGCGGCCACGTGGAGCTCCACCTTTAGTCCCGGTTGGTAACACCAACCGGGACTAAAGGAAATTTTGTGATTTTTTTTGAATTTTTTTTTCAAATTTCTGAATTATTTTAACCTCTAACCTCATCACTGTTCAATTTATCTTCTAATCTCTAATCACCCCACATCATTCCAAATCATCTAAATTCCCGAACGGTCACCCATCCTACCACTCCCCCAGCCTGAGCACGCTTAACTTCCGGGTTCTATTCTCCCTCGTTTCCAAGTCTGCACTTGTTGTTTTTCTAACAATAGTAAGATGTCAATCCTATTAACCCTCAGGAATTTTGCTTGACATGAATTGACACATTTCACTTTTGAGTTTGAAACTATTGTTTTAAAAAACAATAATTATTTAGTAACACTAATATTTCTTGAATAATTAGTTTGACCATTGTTTGACCACAGTTTGACCAGATTTGACCAAAATTCAGAATAACTGAAATAATTATTTAGTAACACTAATATTCTAGAATAATTAGTTTGACCATTGTTTGACCACAATTTGAAATTTTTTCGATTTTTTCCACTCTAGATCTTAAAAGCCCCGTAACTTTTTTTCTGTTAGGTTTTTGAGGATTTTGAAAATGTTTAACAGGGTTCCCCCAGTTAAATTCGGGTGTAACTTTTCGAGTAGATGGTTTTTCATATAATTTTTTTTTCATCCGAGTTAGTATGCAAAGTTATGCCCATTTTTACAAATTCCAGAGAGATTTTGCAAATAAAATCGAAATTCACATTTGCAAATTTCCCAACAACTAGCCGCACGAACCGGGACCAATGCTCACATTAGTCCCGGTTCGTGACTGAATCTGGACTAATGTGAATATTGCCCCGGAACCAAAGCCCTGTTTTCTACTAGTGTTCGGTCAATGTATTTTACAAAAAATTAAGCTGAGAGCCAGTGGTTTTTGTCTCAAATTCGTAAACAGGTGTTTTCTGCAAACCTACGCGTCAATGTGGCGGTTTTTTGCAATTCACTCCATCCCAGCGGATGGGGGGTGGGAGCACGCTCTCCTCCAGCGCAACCAGAACAACATCCTCGGCAGCGCGGACGTGAGTCGACGTATGCTCGTTTTTTTTTATCTTTGAACAAAAGAAGACTTTAGTCATATTAGGTGCATTTTACAGAAACAAGCATGAATGGAGCCATGCTAGAACCAGAAAGAATGTCCTTGCCAGGACATTGTCCTTGACCTGCTTTTGTATATAAGCAACGGATAGCTAAGGATCTTGTCTGAATACGAAGAGCTAATCTAGCTTGATGATGACCTAACACACTACTCTATGTGGTAAAACAACTCTGTTATATTGGGAAAAAGTAGTATCAGAAATTTGAGTCATTTTAGATACCAGTTTTAGTTTGGGTTTTGTTAATACAATTGATGAATTTCAGGACACCGGCAGGCACGTTGTTTTTCACATACATTCTAACCGCACGCGTTATTAACGCACGGGGATCTTTGCTTGTAGAGCTAAAAAAACTAAAGCAATTCGTGGGAGTCGATCACACCATTCCACTACACCAGAAGTTGAGATGTAATATACAGACTCTATTTGACACAGTTTTAGAGTTCAAATTCAAAATGTTTGAATTTTTTCGAAAGGTACTGCTGTTTCTTGGGGCCCACCGAAATTCCGGCCGGAATTAAAAATCTTCGATAGTACTGGTTTCGATTGTGTTGGTTGGTTTTCGGTTGAGTCAATTTAGTTCACCGAATCTACCTATGAGTTTCCTTTTCTAGTCTTGGCTACGTGTATATAAGCAGCAACAACGATCGGTTGTAAGCCGTGACATCCTAGTTTAATAGGATATTGATAGTATTACTCATACTAACAAGGTGTATCTTTCTTTTTCTCTGGAAGGTCATCTCCTAAGAATATCTTAGTTAAGTGTCCTTGGCTGGAACCAACATGGGAATGGGGGGTGGTGACCAACAAGGAAGTTTCCAACGATGTGCACGAGTGAGCACAAAGTATGCCAGAACAACTTATGTTGGTCTGTGGGGCCAACCTAGAGAGTAGCGAGGTTGAGAGTGGTTGGGGTGTTTTATAATCAATAAGGGAAAATCACGAGGCACAATATGTGCTTCTGACTAATTTTGAATTGATGTATTCGTGTGCGTGCGTTTTGGCTCCGATGCTTGTGTGACCTCTTGACCAATTATTAGACGCAACAGCAGTGCATGAGTTTTAATTACGTTTGCGTTTTTTTGACCTCTTGATGGATCCATACATTCATCTAATTATATCATATGCTTTAAATGTGTATATAGATATAACTCCTCAAATAGATTGTATTGAAAAGATATATCATTTAATGTATTTTGTGAGAGAGAAAATATGGATTGTCTGGGTTTTGAAGCTAAAGAGATGTATCTAGATTAAGATATGGTAGCTTTCTCTTTCCACATTAAATAGGATGCCACATCAGATTGTTGCTTAGGCTTCATGATTAAGATATTGTTCAAGGTGGAGCACCGGGATTGCTCTAATATGTACTCGGTATTATTTGATAATGCAGTTCTTGATTTTTTTATTAGGGGAATATATTAATATCTCAAAGATATCAATTAACCGCTGGCAATTAAACCCTTTTTAAACTTTGAGGTTGTTTAGCTGGTATTCGCTGACGTGGCAAAGATAGTTGATTGGCTGGCTGGACATTAGGACGAATTGGGCTGGCCCATTAACGCAGTCGCTCGCATGCTCACTCATTTTCTTTGTTACTTCATTTTCATAATGATAATAACTTCTTTTAAGTTTTGTAATGGAAGTAATTTTTTTACGAACCCATTTTTCTTCTTCTAGCCAACGACAATTCACGTAATGAACTGCTGCGCTAATTTTCGGCCGAAACGTTAGACGCCCAAGTTTATGAGGAGGAGGGAGTATTAGGAGCGACAAAAATTAGAAGCGGCCTAAAAAATGAGCTTAACAATACTTGAACTCAGGACGTCGCACTTGCAAAGGCCTCACCTAGCCAATCGGCCTGAAGGCTGCTAAAGATTATATTTAGCGCTACATAAAAACAGAAATGAGCTTTCATATATGAAAACCTTTTTTGAAGAATATAGCTTTTCAACGCGAATAATTTACAGAATTCCGAACCATTTTTTTGAAAAATGACATGGTAACATTTTGCCAAATGCACATTTTACATTTTCTAAATGTCAATAAACATTTTATAAAACTATACAGACATTTACAAAAATTCTCAGTTTTTAAAATCTGTTCCCATTTTTTCAGAAAATGTTTATGTTTCAAATAGTGTTCAATCAAAATTGATTGTGTTTTCAAAAAAAATTTGTGTTTTAAAAGTATTCAGGATTTCAAAAAAGTGTTTGCACTATAAAAAAATTGGAGATTTAAAAATTGTTTGGGCCTGCACGTTTTTATATTTGTTTGCCCCTAAAAGAATCTTTCAAATCGCCACGCTGTTGTGCGTGGATAAATTGATCGGTCCTCGCACTATAGCAACAAAAGTTAGTGCATCTATTGGCTAGCAGGAAGAGTTTAGCAGCGGTATATCGCAAGTTCGATTCCTCCAGAGCTTTTTTGACTCCGCGTGTTACGGAAAAGGAAAACAAAAACTCGCGTCGCATCTGTTCGACTGGCTAGTCGTGATTGGAGTCAACAATCCCGGGATTCATATGCCATGTTCAGGGTTTGGTGTGTTGATTTCCGGGATTGCAAATTCAGGGTTTGATTTAGCTTGATGGTTCATTTTGGACTTTTTCAAATGTAATTATGAACTAATTAAACAGGCTGTGATCCGTCCATCTATCGTGGGGAAGAGCAGGTAACACCATGGGCATGCTGCTAATTAACTGACTCATATACACATCGCTACAAACACCATGGGAGTACCATTTGCACCTCAGGAGATGATTTTAATTTACAGTATTTGTTGGCACTAGAATTCTTAAATACTCCGTATTTTATTTACTCTGTATGTTAGATTTGTCCTATTTTAAACTTTCAAAAGTTTGACCAAGTTTATAAAGTTCTTAAATACTCCATATATATGATGTGAAAAAAATTCAATAATGAATCTAATGATATTGATTTGGTATTGAAGGTATTAATATATATATATATATATATATATATATATATATATATATATATAGTATAAAGTTTAAGACAAAGCTAATATGTAAAGTAAATAATAACGAACAAAGTATTTAGAAGAACGCCAAAAGCATCGGTAAGTTCACACCCACATATTATGATCACGCCTATGAAATGAAGCGAGAAAGAGAAATACATGGCGGAAGTAATTAAATAAAATGTACACTAATTAATTAAAGTTTTCTGGGGCTTAGGTCGTTACCTTCTTAAAAAATGCAAAAAGATAATGACCACCAAGGAGCTTTCTGAGCACTGATACTCGGTATTGCCCCCCTGTGAAAAAAATCGCGTCCCCTATCTGCTTGGTGGACACGATGATCCGGCTACCATTGTTATTGTCTGGCAGGTGCATTCTGATGATATCCCACTCTACAACACTGGGTATTCCTTCGAGGATGACCAGATATCTCTGCTCAGTCCATTGCTTCATGGGTTCATCTTCTGAAGTCTTGCCCTTGAAAACAACAGCTTGGCAGAACCGAGAGCTAGCTTGTAACTGAGTCCGCAAGTTCTTGAGGAACTCATCAGGGTTAAATGGATGCATCAGCTTTACCCAGGCGCGACTTTTGAATATCTGGCAGATTTTTGGGTCGCAGTAAGCCTTATTGATGATCTGCGTCCCCTCAATATCAGATCCTGCACTTCCCCACAAAGAAATTACTTGAAGGTCATTGCCCTCCTTGGTAATCAACTTTTGGAGGTTGCAAAAATCGTGGTGCCTCCCATTGGCCTCCCATAGCTTCATCAGGATGTCAATTGTTGATTGGCTGGTGGTGGCCAGCTGCTCTGCCGGTGACTGTAAGATGGGACCGGAGCCAGAGTCGATTATGAGATTGTAGCGGGTGTTCCTCTGGCTCACCGCCTCGACCCTTGCCTTGAGTTGCTTCAACTCAGCGACCGCCATGTCCAGGTCCCGAGTCCCAGGTGGTGCCATGCAGGACGGCACCAGGCGCCACACCCAATTCCAGGTCGAGTCGTTATCCAGGTGGATAACGAACTCGACGCAGTCTTCGACATCGAAGGCCAGGTTACGGAGCTGCCGCACCCAGGTCCTCACCACTTCATTCCTGACACGCTCCTTACTGGCGACGTTAAGAAAGGATTGCATCATTTGTAATTCCCCGGTGATGAACACCAGGTCCTGCTGTGCCGCCTTCGTCTGCTTGTCCTCTTCATCGATCGCGGATTGGACCCTGCTTAGGGTCCCCTCCACCGCCGTCTTGGCTAACCCAAGCGCGAAGTCCGCCATTGATGCTCTCCACTTTCTCTCTCTCCTTGTGTGGCTTGTGTTTGTGGTGTGGCAAGCAACTAATGGATGTTGGATGATGTTGGGAATTGTGCATCAGCTAAGCACACCGAGATGGGATTAAGAAGAGGATGGAGAGGAGCTGTAAGATGGCAAACTTTGGCATTGTAAAAGAGACTTGGAGGTCGTGTAAGAAATGAACCGAATATTGGGTAGTTGAAAGGAGGCCTCACGCACGTTGATCAAACGTGGAATGCCGGAATCTTCGGATCTGAATGTATGCATGACGTGCAGTGCTGCACCGGTGCCTCGAGTCAAAGAATCTAACTTGCTTCGGGACCAAAGGACACTAATGTTACTTAACGTCCTAAGCAGTGGAGCTGCGTATGGTATGAGCATCATTTTTGCTTGAGATGTCACAATCTGCATAATAAGTAGATATATGCATGATGTCACAGTGTCTATACATTGGCTGATTACAATAGCACCGATTTACAGCGGTCAAACTGCTGATTGCGGGTTAATACAAACATAAGTGAAAATAAGCACCATTCACGTTCTATGCAAGCATTCAGATCTGATGCATTGTAAAAGCATCCTAGGTTTAGCGTGTCTAAGGATCCCGAAAGCACATGCATGTACAACTGGAAACCAGAAAAATATCCCTTTGGCAAGTTGAGTTGCGTGCAAGTGTGAGCAAGTGGCTACCTAGGACAGAGTACTTCTCTGCTGTATAAAACCGCGGATTCCCCGGGCCAACGAATCTGCATCATCACTATTAAATGATGCTAACATGGATGAAAGATCAAAGTTGTCTGGTTAACGGACATAGATTAACCAAGTGTGGCAATATGTGTATTGTACAGTAGTAATTTGGTAAAACACGATACAAGTTGACATTCATCAGTGCCGCCCCCCGCGGCTCCCCAGCAGCCTGTCTACTCGATGACGATGCTAGCTGTACGGAATTTTTTTTATGCAAATATTGTCCATTGGAATTTCTGTAATTTAGTAGCACTTCTGTTTCACATTTTGATTATCTTGATTATATCTTTGGTTAAGAACTTAAATTTCGGCAATGTATTGTAGAAAAGGTGGGCTGATAATATGTCTCCTCTAATCTTAGTTTCTTACACCAAAGGCATTTTTCCTGACTTCACCAATAAAGCGAGAATGCTCTAATGCGATACAAATATTAATGAAGCAACTTTGGAAGCCAGATCAGATGCAGCGTATTTTGCGTGTCCACTGATCTGGAAAGCAGATGCCTTACGACTGGAAGAAAAAAAAAGAATTCATTTGATAGGTTGAGTTGCCAACAAGAGCTAGCAAGTAGCTGAAAGACATAACAGATTACCTTGGACATATGAAGGGATACATGAGACGCTTAGCCTAAGCCAAGATCTGAGAAGACTTGAACTTCATTGAGGTCCTAAAAAAACAACCTAGCCAATCATGGCCTCACATTAACCAGCTATGCATGGGAAGATGCTTCCACACCAGATATACCAATTGAGCCATGAATGAATAATTGGAGGTGCCTCAAATTAACGAATCTTCCGAACTAGCTATATTATGTCCCATGGGATTCGTGGGTTGCCTACAGTTGCTCAAATAATCACAAATCCTTTGGTCCAAAGTCCTAACTAATTCACATTTCTATTTTTTAATTAATTAACTTTTATTTGGGCCTATATCAATTTGAGCCTATTATTTGTTTTATACTAAAAGCCATTTTCTTCCCAATTATTTGTTGTACACTGAAAGCCATTTTCTTCCGAATAGTCACGGGAGGTGGAGTTCATCCCTTCCTATAAGCCTTGCAGCCTATTACAAGATGGGTTCAAGCGAAATAGATTCACAGGGGGTACGGGAGAAGAGATAAAACAAAATACACACACCAACAACACATAGAGAAGGGAACAAACAAAGGGGTCAGTCCGAGTCTGAGAAGCCTCAGAGACAGTTGCCAGACAAGAAGAACCCGTCACGACCCAGACACAACAACTACCGGGAGGAGCCAATATAACATAACAACGGGAAACATGTCACATACTAGGGTTCAAAATTTCGCTAAAATTTCCAGAAATTTTGCATACTTCGGTGAGGTCTGAAATATTTGTAATCCTGAAATACCGAGCAAGATTCGAACTAGAATTCAAATTAGGTTAAAATTCATTAAAATTTATTTAATTTTGAATACTCAAAATATGAAATATTTCCGAATAATGCGGAAGTTCCAAAATTTCGCATATTTCGGTGACTTCAGATTCTTTTCCGTTTCCAAAATTAAAAATCGGCGTATGGTACAAACATCTTTTTTTGCTTGAGATGTCACAATCTGACTAATAAGTAGCTACATGATGTCACAGTGTCTACATTAGCTGATGACAATTAATAGCGTCGATTTACAGGGGTTAGACGTACTGATTGCCATATTGTAAACTGATTATCCTATGTCAAATTTCAGCAATCTAGCCAGTATAGGAGTACTTCTCATAGGAGTGCGTACAATATACACTAATGTTAGGTGTTCTGTACTACTGCCTCATGAGTAAAGTCAACATGCCAATTAATACAAACAAAAATTGAAAATAAGCACTATGCACATTCGATGCAAGCATTCAGATCTGATGCATTGTAAAAGCATCCTAGGTTTAGCGTGTTCCATGGCTCTGGAATGCACATGCATGTACAACTGGAAACCAGAAAAATATCCCTGTGGCAGGTTGAGTTGCCTGCAAGTGGCTACCTAGGACAGAGTACTTCTCAGATGCATTTTTAATGCAAGTGGTGAACGAATCAGCAGCATCACCATTAAATGATGCTAACATGCATGAAAGATCAAAGTTGACCCTGATTTTTATTTCTAAGAGAGTGGGAGCCAACAAAACGTCACCGACACGATGGGCAACTGAACGTGCCTCTCTCTAGGACCAACCTTTCAGGTAAGTAGCTATTTTTCTGATATAAGTAGCTATTACCTCTGTACCATAATATTTGTTGAACTGCTACAACAACAAATTTTATTGTACAGAGGGAGTATATATCATTACAATATGTACATTGATCGATGGATGACAACAGCAAGAAAATTATAGTGAATTGCACGACGAGGACTTGTATGAGAGGCATAGTGGAGCAGTGGTTAGACATGCTTATTGTCGGACTGTGAAGAGAAGACTAAAGATTATCTTAGGTCTAGTTTGAACAATCACCATAATTGTTATACATACAATATGGATTCCCTCAATGTTTTCTTCTGAAGGTATTCTGCACTACTGCTTGATGAGTAAATCCAAAATGTCTATCAATTAATCTGAACATAAGTGAAAATAGGCACTACATCTATCCGTGCAAGCATTCAGATCTGACGCAATGTAAAAGCATCCTAGGTTAGCATTCTACGTACAGATCTGAGTTGCCTGCAAGTGTGAGCAAGTGGATGAAAGAAATAGCAGGCTTACCTAGGACAGAGTACTTCTCAGCTGCATTCTGAATGCAAGTGGCGAACGAATCATCATCATCACCATTAAATGATGCTAGCATGCATGAAAGACCAAAGTTAACCCTGATTTTTGCGTGCCCAGCCGCCTACGTATGCATCTGACTTCAGATGATTTGTATTTCTAAGAGAATGGAAGCCAAACGAAATGTCACGAACACCATGGGCAACTCAAATGTTTTTCCGTTTAAAGGAGGTCATCCCCCGGCCTCTGCATCGGATAGATATGCATGTGGCCACTTTATTAGAGCAAGTTCAACAAAACAAATAGTCTGGTCTGCAAAGTACAGCTCACAAGAGAAGCAAAATAAAAAAAATAAGCAACTCAAAGCCACACCTGGCTGGGCGAAAGGACATTAAGGACCAAAATTCTATTATGCGGCCGCCATCCAAACCGGTTGAAATAGCCCGTGCTACCATCTCCCACCAGTTGCACCCAGTAGCCAAATGCTCCCTGGAGCCCGTATGAGTAAGTAGCAACCACGTACGGATCCATGCCGTAGCCCCGAAGATAACCTGCAAGAAGTTAATCATATAAAGTCTGTTAAAAATCATATCGTTCATGCAGTTCCATATAGCCCAAAGAAATGCGCATATTCCAATCCGAATACTTGACGCAATATCAAGATTCACTCCATTTAGCCACGTCCCAAACAGTGCTTCAATGCTAACTGGAGGAATAATATTAAAAGCTATATGAACGGACTGCCAAAGTAACTTCACGAGAGGGCAATCAAGGAATAAGTGTTAAATTGTTTTGTCGTGAACACAAAAGCAACATGGTGAACGGCCTACCCATCGTCGCTTCAGTAGGTTATCTTTGGTAAGGATCACTTGCTTTTGTACAAACCACATATTTTTTTTAATTCACAAGCGCACCTTAACTTTCCAAATGTGCATCCAACTTGGGATTGGGCCAGAATTAATGAGATCTAAGTACATCGATTTGACCGTAAACACTCCATTACCCATTAGCTTCCAGTTCAGGGTGTCTCCCTGATCTGAGAGTTGAACGTCCATCAACCTCCTCACTAAGTGTAAACAAGAATTCCATCGTTCCCCTACTAGAGACCTCCTGAACTGGATATTCAAAGGTACCGTCTGCAAAACCATTGCTACGTAATCCTCCTTACGTTGAGCAATATGATACAGGGAAGGAGGCTGGAGAGCTAGCGGTGTGTCTCCTAACCATGTATCCTCCCAAAACCTTGTTGTTGTTCCGTCCCCAACAATGAATTTCACCCTATGGAAGAAGGTCTCTTTCGCTCTCATGAGTCCCTTCCAAAATGGTGAATCATTAGGTCTTACGGTAACCAGAGCGAGAGTTTTAGAGTGCAAGTATTTATTTCTCCGGATTTGTGCCCACATACCCTCCGATTCCTGTGATAGCCTATATAGCCATTTGCTCAACAGGCATTTATTTTTAATCTCGAAATTCTCGATCCCAACACCCCTATGGTCTTTTGGTCCACAAATAATATCCCATCTTGCCAGGAGT